AAAAAAAAAAAAAAAAGAGGCAGAAATTCGATCAGAGTTGTATAAATTTATTTATTTTTAAAAAAAAAATTCAGAAACTTTGAGGTTAACCTGTAAACGAACAAAAATTGAAAACCCTAGAAAAGGTAATGGAGGAGAGAGAAAGCTAGAGAGAGAGAATATGGGAAATTTTCATGGAAGAGAGAAGTTAAAAAGAACAATGGGGATTGGATCTTTTTGTTTCGATTTTCATTCCAATTTTCTCTCTCTTCATTGCCCTAAACTTGGAGGGTTACTGCCCGTTGTTTCTCTCTCTAAAAGACCTATCCATGTGGGGTAGGGAAGGCTAAGGGCATATCAGAATTGGACACGTGTCAGCACCACAATAACAGCTCTTGAAAATTAAAAATTTAAAAATTGTAAATTTATACGATGTTTTCTTTTATAAGGTGGGCTGTTTCTTAACTAATTCAAAAGGTGTCATTTCAAGAGTTGTTGGATTTTTTTTTTTAATTAATTTATTATTTTAAGCTAAAAGTAGTCAAATTTTCTAATATTAGCAAATTTCTTAAATAGTTTTTTTTAATATATATAATTTAAATATTTAAAATTTTCTTTTCTTTTTTAAGTAAGCGGCTTGATGTGTTATTTCTTCCTTCATTCGTAATTTACTCAAATTTTAAAATAAAAAAGGTCTAAATTTGGTATAATGAGTTATTTTCTTTTTCAATTTCGTCCTATAATTAATTAATAGTTTGAATATACAAAATATTGAGAAATTATATACATAAACATTTTAAAAAACGTTATCTACACACTTATGAAAAGTCAAGATATTTTTTAGTTCGATCGGTGAAATGAGATATTTGAACATATGGACTCGTGGTTGAAGGAGTCGTACTTTTAGTCGATAGCTTGCTAGCCTAACCGAGCTCAGGCTCAATAAGATAGAGATAGGTATTTATATCCACTGACTTATACGAACATTTGAGCTCGAGATTGAAGGAGTCGTACTTTTAGTCGATAGCTTACTAGCTTAACTAAGCTCCAACTCGATAAGATAGAGATAAATATTTACATCAGCTGACTTATGCTCAAATTGGCATGAAGCATCTGAACATCTGAGCTCGTGGTTGAAGGAGTCGTACTTTTAGTCGATAGCTTGCTAGCTCAACCGAGCTCCAACTCGATAAGATAGAGATAGATATTTACATCAGTTGACTTATATTCAAATTGGCATGAGATATCTGAACATCTGAGCTCGTAGTTGAAGGAGTCGTACTTTTAGTCAATAGCTGGTTAGCTCAACCGAGTTCCGACTCAATAAGATAGAGATAGATATTTACATCAGTTGACTTATGTACAAATTGGCATGAGATATCTGAACATCTGAGCTCGTAGTTGAAAGAGTCGTACTTTTAGTCAATAGCCTGTTAGCTCAACCGAGTTCCGACTCAATAAGATAGAGATAGATATTTACATCAGTTGACTTATGCTCGAATTGGCACAGTTAATTAAGCACGTTTCCGGTCGTTTTTCGATAGACGATGAGCGGGACAAGATATGGAAATAATTGAGAATTTTGGGGGCCACAAGCACCCATAAAAGTTTGCCCCATATGGGCTGGTTTCTTCTCCTTCATCCCATTCCATCTCCATGTCGAGAGGACCGTTAAAAAGAAGGAGCAGTCTCAGCTGCTCACTGTGGCCCCCACAAACAAACAGCATAAGGCTGGCCCATGTCTGTTTTATTTATTTATTTATTTATTTATTAATTTCCCCATTGTTACACTGTAAAGTTGTTCTTCTGGGGTCTGTGGGCTCTCCTCAAAAGCAATGGAATCATCAATAAACCCTTCAACCCATATCCAACTTTTACTTTACAGTCAAAACGTATCAAAATATCAATAAAAAAGGAAAAAAGAAAACCATCACATAATACACACACAATAAATGCACTAACTAAGAGAATAAATTATACTAAAGTTTTTGGTATGACGGGTGTGACGTGATAGCCAACCAGATAGGCGAAAACGTTCGGTTAACGTAGAAGATATGAACTAAATAAAAAGGCATAATCTAAATCCCGATGTAGAAACTTCATGTGGGTGTCATTCACACACCGCTCTATATCACCCTGATTACTAAATTAGTTGAGTACCGTACAATTGGGTTAACCCTGGCATTAGTAGATGGTAACCTGAAAACTTCTTGCGGGTGTCATTCACACACCGCTCCAGATCACCCGGATTACTAAAGTAGTTGAGAACCGTACAATTGAGTTAACCCTAACATCTGTAGATGGCAACTGGAAAGCTTCTTGCGGGTGTCATGCACACACCACTCCACATCACCCGAATTACTAAAGTAGTTGAGAACCGTACAATTGGGTTAACTCTAACATCCGTATATTGACAACTGGAAAACTTCTTGCAAGTGTCATTCACACACCGCTCCACATCACTCGGATTACTAAAGTAGTTGAGAACCGTACAATTGGGTTAACCCTGACATTAGTAGATGGCAACCGAAAATCTTCTTGCGGGTGTCATTTACACACTGCTCCACATCACCCTGATTACTAAAGTAGTTGAGAACCGTACAATTGGGTTAATTCTGACATCTGCAGATGGCAACCGAAAAACTTCTTGCGGGTGTCAATCATACACTGGTCCACATCACCTAAAAGTAGTTGAGAACCGTACAATTGGGTTAACTCAGATGGTAACTGAAAAACTTCTTGTGGGTGTCATTCACACACGGCTCCACATCACCCCGGTTACTAAAGTAGTTGAACCATACAATTGGGTTAGTCCAGACATCCGTAGATGGTAATCGGAGTGAACCGAAAGTGGCCCAGTAATCTTCTCCATCAGGGTGGCCACAATGAGATAGAGTGTCCGAATACAAAGAGAGCGGTTATACCCACAAGAACTAAATAGACACGACGTTAAGAGCGAGCTCGGTGATGAATCAAACAATACATTCATAAAAATTGGACATCTAGACACTAATTCAAGTTCGTCTACCCAAAGAAGAAAGTGAAAATCAAAATTTCTAACAAGAAAAAAGGCAGTGTTTTTCCTTCCATAATAATTCAGAGCTAACCCTTTACTTTTTTGTAAGTACAGCTACAACAAGTAACGGAATACCCGAGAAGTAACACGAGCTGATCTACGAGCGTCGTCGAGTCGAGACGGTGAGGTGTCGAACGTCTCAGCCAATCAGGAACAGGATCTAGCATACACTAAGTGGAATCGGTTTTCGAGACAAACGAAACGAACCATGACCGAGCAATGTACATCTCACTGACTGAAACTATAGATATCCAAACTCCCAAACTAAATTCACAAGGGGGAGGAGAGATCAACATTGGAAGTTCACTTAAAACAACTAAGAACAGAAAGAACTAGCAGTGTTGAAGATAAGTCGAAGACCTGTTTCGGAGAAACGCTTACGTCGGTGGTGGTTACAAATCCCAGCCATCTTTGCGCCCGTCGAATCCCCATTTCCGAGCAGCCAAATTTGCATACAACTTAGAGAATTCATTGAGACAGTCGCTTCTTAGCTGATAATGAACTTGTGTGTTTTTGCTGATAGCAGCACCCGAGAACTTCGACGTGTCGATCGCCCAAGCTGGCCTCACGTATTCTACCGTTTGAAACGAGCTAGCATTGGCATACAGGAAATTCAATAAAACGTCTTCACAGTTAAAAAGCTTATCGACCATATCCCGACCCGGCTTAGCAGCTGCACTCCAGTACATTTGAAAAGCAAATTGACTATCAATGAAAGCTGCCCCTGTAAGTATCATATTGTATCCTTTATGAGTTCGAGCGTATTTCTCGGCTCTGTATTGCAAAGGATTTCCGTTAACAAGTCGGGGATAGAAGCCCACGATGCGGTCGGGGTGTTGACGCCATACCTTAAAACCTCGCTCGACATCATCACAAGTCATCATGATGTCATCGTCGAGCTCCAAAACGGCTCGAGTTTTTATCAAAGGATCCAACTTGAACCGGTTATTGAGCGAGTTCTTCTCTTCTATTCTGAATCTAACAGGCACAACTGAATCCAAATCACTCAATTTTGGAGGTGTTCCCTTGTTCCATACCACGACGATCTCTCGAACAGACGAGCATCGAGAATAGTGCTTTACGTACATTTTCAAATTCCAAAGGCGAGCATCGTAAGTCATCGTGAGTAACGTGAACTGAGAGTAGTGATCTTTAAACGGGTACGCTTCTTGGGCACCATTGCCTCCGTATATATATTTCACTGCAGTACACATGAGTGCAACTCCGAAAACAAATAAAATAGCAAGAACAAGTCGGCCAGTGCACGTATTAGATTTCACCCAACTTCGAAGGATCGAAGGTGCTCGGTTCACACGGCTACAGAATCGTCTCACTTTCGAAGAAAATAAATTCGACTTTTCCCATGTTAAGATTGCATCGCTTCTCTTTCCCGAAGTATAAATGCACCAATTCATGGGAACGATGCAGTTCACCGCTCCGAGTAGCAAACCGAGTAACAAAACAAGAACTGCAACCACAGCAAACGCAACACAACCAAGTAAAAATCGATGAACTGAATCACCCGAGGGTACCCGATCACCGTCCATCACCCCAATCCATTGACCAGAACTAAGCTTTAGGGCATCGACATGGTGGTAGCGAATGCCATTCCAAGCATTACGACGCTTAACGGGTTCTTCTAAGCCCAACGAAACTTCTACTTCCTTATATCTATCTTTTGTAAGAACTTCGACCTTGAAAACACGAACTTTCTTGCCATAAGTTTCACCACAATCTTGACCAATACGATATAGGCTACCGTCGTGAAAGAACGGTCTGCCTCCATTACGAGCACCGAAGCTTTTATCCACATTATAGATAGGATTCCGCTTGTGAGGCCTCCAAGGACCAAGGGGCGAGCTACTATACCATATCGCCAAATGCCCGTTTCTTTTCGTACCGAGACCACTATGGTCCGACCCTAGAAGCCAGTACATACCATTGTGATTGATGATGACTGAATCAACAAGGGGCTTCTTCAGCATAACTCTATCCAATTCCCACTTCAAAGGAAAATTAACAGCTCGATAAAGGCGAACCTCTCCTTTTCGACTGCTTTCTGGCATCATGTATATCTGCAAGAAATAACCGACAAATTATCAAAAAAATTGCACGTGATTCGATTGCATGGACACGGTGTCCATCGTCATTATTAAAAAATCGAGCTTTCATTAAGAAAAAACGAAAGATTGTGCACGGGTAGACAGAAAAGAAACCCACAAAAGGAACCAAACAACTAACTAAGATTCCTAGAAAGTAAAGAAGTCCGATGGACAGACGCCCACGACGCAACATTAAACCTAACGACCTCCTAAACGTCCTACCAAGACCTCTTTACCGCTCTACTCTCGAACCAAAAGCCCCACAAAACAGGGGAAAAAACACAATCTAGAGCATAGAGCCACAGCCTATTTTGCAAGCTAAGTGAACGCCCGAAAGACCGTAATCGCAACACTGATAACTGAAGACCGCAGTTTTCGGAGACAGAATTTTAAGGTATCGAGTTTTAAACCCGAAGCTCGAACCCAAAATCTCGGCTACCAACAAAAACGTAAAAAGGAAGAAGAAAAGAAGGGTGAGTCTCTTACCTTGCCAAGGTGTTCAAAGACAAATGGAAAAGAGAGATGCCATTTCTCATTCAAAGCAACACCTAGAGGCTGCCATGTTGCTCCATTGTCAACGCTCTTCGCAACGCCTATATCTCCTTGCAAAGATACCGAGTTCTTGGTTTCGTAAAATAAGTAAATGATATCTCCCTGCCAGTAAGATCGATTCGTTCGTGAAAAGAGTCGACATGTTCATAAGAAAGAATAAGAGCAGAACGTGATTCATTGAAGAAATAATTCAACTATTTATTGCTCATACGAACCATAAAGTGTAAAGAAAATAATTTCGACGACCATTATCGTGTTCATCAAATGAAAAGTGCACCGTATTAGTATAGCTCCAATGTTATGCATGCTCGACTTGGATAAATTATATGAGTTAGGATAAAACATGCTAAAAGAACCCAGGTTGGTTTGTAACAGCTCAAGCCCACTACTAGCAGATATTGTTCGTTTTGGCCTGTTACATATCATCGTCAGTCTCACGGTTTTAAAATGCGTCTATTATGGAGAGGTTTCACACTCTTATAACGTTTCCCTTTCCATCCGATGTGGGATCTCACAATCCACCCTCCTTGGGGGCCCAGCGTCCTCGCTGGCACACCCCCCGGTGTCTAGCTCTAATACCATTTGTAACAGCCCAAGCCCACCGCTAACAAATATTGTCCGTTTTAGCTTGTTACATATCGCCGTCAGTCTCACGGTTTTGAAATGTGTCTGTTAAGGAGAGGTTTCCACACCCTTATAAGTAATGCTTCGTTCCTCTCTCCAACCGATGTGAGATCTCACATGGTTTGTGGGGACAGTCGTTCACTCTTAGAAGCAATTCAGATACCAAAATTACCCGACACTAAAAGTCACAAGAGGTAAATAGTAAATCCAATAGCTTCAAGATCCTCAAATCTTGCATGTTTTATAATGTTAATTTAGGCAGCACCAAACTATTGCAACAAAAAATTACGTGTTGAACCAGAGTTCGAGCCAAACTAAAAACAGTTTGGTAACAAAAAGTATGCTATAGCAGCTAAATTCAAAGTCACCCAACCTAACACATAGCACATATGACTTTTGTTTTGACATAATGGAAGTTCATTTATCACAACCGAAAACCGAAGACCTATAATATCACGGCTACGTTATAATTATGCCACGATAAGCCTCTAGAGCTACTTACACTAAACGTTAAGCGAAGAATATCAACTTTTGTGTAGCAGCAATAATCAAAGTTGCGCTATCTAGGACGAATATTAGCATCCCCATGAACACCTACGAGTATTAAACTACCCACTCGAAGCTAGTGAGCGGGGTCGAAAGAACCTCAAAGATGCAATTTTATCAAATGGTTATGAACCTACACCGGGACCAAAACTTGATTATCAAGTTCTCTTAGAAATGCACATTCCCTTCTTTATTAGTGAAATCCCATGTCGGTTGGAGAGGGGAACGAAACATTACTTATAAGAGTGTGGAAACCTCTCCCTAACAGACGTTTTAAAACCATGAGGCCAATGGCGATACAGAAACAAGCCAAAGTGGACAATATCTACTAGCGGTGGGCTTTGACTGTTACAAATGGTATCAAAGTCAAACACAGGGTGGTGCGCCAACGAGGACGCTAGCCCCCAAGGGGGGTGGATTGTGAGATCCCACATTGGTTAGAGAGGGGAATGAAGCATCCCTTATTACGGTGTGGAAACCTCTCCCTAGTAGATACGTTTTAAAACCATGAGGCTAACAGCTATACATAACAAACCAAAGCGGACAATATCTACCGGCGATAGCCTTGGGCTGTTACAAATGGTATTAGAGTGACACCGAACGGTGTGCCAGCAAGGACGCTGGCTCTCAAGGGGGGTAGATTGTGAGGTCCCATAACGGTTGGAGAGGGAAACAAAACATTGCTTATAAGGGTATGGAAACCTCTCCCCAACAGACGCATTTTAAAACCATGAGGCTAACGATGATATGCAACGAGCCATGCTAGCAGTGGGCTTGAGCTGTTACATTATTTCAAAAACAACACGGGTTTCATTCAATTAAACAATGGGTACCAAACTTAAACATGATCAAAGAAAAACATGAACAGTTGGACTCAAGGAGCTCAAGAACAATCAAAATGCAATAGAACCACAGCAAAAAAGTTGCAGGCCAAAAATGGAAGTTACCTGAGCGAAAAGAAACGGGTCTGCAACAAAGTTACTGGGAAAACCAGCATTAGAAACTGAAGCACAGGTGATTACAGGATTAGCCACTGGCCAAGCAGCAGTTTCGTTTCTCCATACATTCGCCTACACACAATTAAAACCCCATTTAGCAAAAGGATTGTCAATAATAATCCATCATATTCATCAAAAACTCACCGTTTCAATGGGTTTAAGGGAGAAAGGAGAATCGCCATAAAAAACCCCAATAGACCAAGACCCTTCATTATCTTCCTGACATCCAAGCGATGAAACGCCGCCGTCCGTACGGACATATGGAGGGGTAAAAGCCAACCAAGCGTAAAGTGTAGCAATCGATCCCAACAAAACAAAGCATCCTAAGAAAAACACGAACCCTGAAGAGACCAATCTGAGATGTCTCTGTTGCCACTTCCATCCGCCACCGCAGCTTTTGCCGGAACCATTTACGCCGCCGCCAACTCCGCCGCCGCTTGTAGCCCCTGTGCTACCATCTACAACGCAATTACTCGCCGCTCCACTCCCACCGACCCCAATTGGACTCGAACCCATCTCGGAAATGGGCTCCAAGATGAGTCAAAGGGGCCTCTCCGTCGACGGTGAGATCTCACACCGCCACCCCATCGCCGGAACAACGACGACGGACTCTCATCGGCATTTCAACAACACAAAACCCCCCTCTGTTTTTTCCCTTGATTTGTTAGAATTGCTGTCTGGGTTTTTGGCGGAGTCAACGAAAAAACGCCGTGGTCGCTTTCGCTAATCGGAGAATGGCGCGTTCGAAAATGGGGAATGAGTAAATCGTTGAACAAATATATTTGAGCTTTTCTTTATAATTAATAATTTTTTTTTTTTCTTCCTCTCAATAAATTAAACATAGAGAGAAGAGAGAAGAATTAATGATTCTTCCAAAGCTGGCTTTGCTCATGCGACGGTGGGTTTGATTCGTCCGCGATTGGGGATTTATCGATACTCGCCGTCTCCAGCGTTACACGAGTGCAAGGTGAGACACGTGTGTAATGACGTCAGCAGCAACAAATTAACGATGATTCAGTTTTTTCAAAATGGCCCCTAGGGTTAGACTATTTCCAAATTCACCCCAGCTGAAATTTATGACTGTATTTTAGCAAATTAATAATTATTATTTTAATAGCATTAATTTTTAAATTGGTCAATTTTATAATTAACAAATATTAATGGACTAATAAGATTTTTAAATTATTTATTTGAATGAGCATTTAGATTTAAAAAAAAATTAAATGACTTGATTGATGAGTATAAATTGACATCTAATATTAATAAATTATCTCAATTTAATTAAAGATGTAATCCAGTTTAAAAATAATAATTATAGGTTTCAAACTACATTAAATTATATAATTTAAATGATTAACCAATATTAAAAGAAATATTAATTTTTTTTTTTAATTTTTAAAATAGGTGTAAAAAGTTGGAAACTGCCGCTAATACCTCCCAACCAAGTTGTTAATTAGTTGGTGATTAGATAGCAAAACAATAATTCAACAAATTGTAGGTAAAATTAGTATTGATTAACTTGATTTTCAAAAAAAAAAAAAAAAAAAAAATTAACGTACCTACTCTAAATTTTGATCGTTTTTTAAATTTTAAAGAATAAAATATAATATTTATATCATATTTTTACGACACTATTTTTTTAGTTTTATCAATTATATTTTTTTTTTAAAATAATAATACGTGTTATGAGTTCTAAATTAATAAAAAAAAATTCTTGAACTTTTTTTAAAAAAATATAAATTAAAAAAAAAACTAAAAACTAAAAACTACTCTTAAACATTTTTAAAAAATTAAAAATAATCGTATTTCAAAAATACTCTTTTAACATTTTAAAAAATACCTTTTGAATTTTCAAAATTTTCATTAATACTCTTAGACCTTTTAAAAACACGTTTCAAAAATACTTGTGAACTTTCAAAATAACGCTAAAAAGTTTAGAGATAATTTATAAGGTGTCTATTAACCGTTTCCATCCATATATTAATGGTAAAAAAAAAATTACTTTTTTTTTTATAAATGTAAATGTCTTTAATGTTACCTTTAAAATTTCGTTGATATTTTTTAAACATAGTACTAACCATAGGAGTATTTTTTTATTATTATTTTGTTAAGTTGAAAGCTATTAATGAAACTTTTTAAAATTTAATAGTTTTTTTTTAGAAAGTCCTATCGGTTTCATCCCAAATTAATTATAAATATATATTTTTTTTTAGACTTCTTAAATATTAGATATTTTTAGATAAGAGTACAAAATTTATAATTTTTTATTAATTTAACATTATTTTATATGTAATAGAAAGATGAACTAAAAAATGGGGTGACTTTCCACCCAAAAAAAAGCAAAAAATGGAAGAAAAAAAGCGATATGAACTTTAAGCTGTTGATTTGATAGACGGAATTTCCCAATTTGAATTTAAACGGTTGCTTTATTTTCATTTTATACCTTCAAATTTGTTGCTTTCAACACTAAAGTTTATTTAAATGTTTTGTTTTTCAACCAATGTACTTCGAAAGTGAAAAATAGATTTTTTTTTTTCTTTTTTTAATTAAATAATGAATATGAAAGATTCTTTTAACCATTTATAATGTCTCATATCTAAAATTTTAATCCAAATTTGTAATCCGTGACACGACCCGTTACCTAATTATCTTGAATTGTTTTCAAGAGTTAACGTTGTCTCTAACATTAATGGGTCATTTTAGCATTTTTTTAGTTGAATGTGTATCTCGTTAGTATAAGTAGTAACCTCAATTATTTTATACAATTTTCACGATATTAATTCATTTGTTTACTCTTCCTCGAGCATCGCATGAATCCTTTTTTTTATTTTGACTATTCCACCGGTTGTTGCTTTTTTGTGTTCGTTATTTCAAAAATTGTGTTTTATCTATCAAATATATTTAAATTAGATGTAACAGTTCAGATCCACCGTCAGCAGATATTGTCTTTTTTAAGCTTTTCTTTCGGGCTTTCCTTCAAGGCTTTAAAACGTCTGCTAGAGGAAGGTTTTGTTCTCCTCCCCAACCAATGCGGGACATCACAATCCACCCCCCTTTGGGCCCACTCTCTTCGCTGACACTCTTTCGTTCCTCCAATCGATGTGAGACCGCCACCAAATCCACCCCCTTCGAGGCCCAGCGTCCTTACTGACACACCGCTTCGTGTCTACCCCTTCGGAGAACAGCGAAAAAGCTGGCACATCGTCCGATGTTTGGCTCTAATACCATTTGTAACGGCCTAGATCCACCGCCAGCATATATTGTCCTCTTTGAGCTTTTCCTTTATGGCTTCCCCTCTAGGCTTTAAAACTCGTCTGCTAAGATAATGTTTTGTTCTCCTTCCTAATCAACGTGAGACATCACATTAGAGATCGTGAAATACACTCTTTTAAATTAACCACGTACGGTAGAATTACCTCCGTGAAATTACAAAATAACACAGGACGTAATTTTTTAAAATACTAAAAGTAAGAACAAAAGAAAAAAAAAAAAAAAAAAAAAAAAAAAAAAAAAAAAAAAAAAANAAGGAAATCAGGATTCCATCATTTATTTTTATTTTATTTTATTTTTCTCCGGTTGCCATCATTACCACGACATTTGCAAGTGGTTTATTGGGAAAGTGTTTATGGTATGTAATCTATATTACCAAGAGGGTCTGACTTACATAAAGTATTAGGGATGCCCAGATTTCATGGATTTTTTGTCGATATATATATATATATATATATATATATATATATATATATATTATATAATTTTTTTTTTTAATTTTTAATGCGCCTTTAAAATAAAGTTAAAATTGGATGATCTGGATTTGAATTTGTTTTTGCTACCACGTGAATATAATCAATATTTTTTTTTGGCTATTTATTTATTTCTTTTTTAAGCCTGTAATAGGATGCCACGTGTCCTGTAGAGATTTACATTTTTAAAACTAAAACATATATTTTTTATTAAAAAATATAAAAATTATGAGTATTTTTTTTTATTAGATTAATATAATATTTTAATTTTATTGCACGCCAACTTACTAGTTTTGAGATGGTTATAAACATTATACCTATTCAATTGTATTAATCCGTGTCACGTAGTAATAGACTTGCAAAGAATATTTCTTCACCTATATCCTGCTCTCCATCCTCGTCCCACTCATTTTTTAATTATTATTATTGTTTTTTTAAAATATATTATTTGAAATTGAATACGAGCTCAATAGAAAGATTGATTGATCTTGGAGGGGCCGCCCTGGGACGACTTTCTTACTTCTTTTCTTACAGGAGGTAGGAGAGTAAGTTCAATCAATCCAATGCAGGGTATACCTATCGTTAATCAAATAGAATGATTCCAAAAAGACGCACCTGTAGATCCTTCACCATGATACGGACTCCAAGTTCTTATGGCGGAGCACGAGGGGATTGAAGGAGCTGAAAAGCTTTTAGTGGAGGAGGCCGTAGTCCTCTTGATATATACGCATCGCATGACCAGGTTGAAGATTTTTTAAAAACATAACTATTCTCCATTAGAGTATTTATTTAAATCAAATTTTGTATTAAGAAAACAAATTATTTAATTAAAATCTCGAAATAAATTATTTAATGTCAATGTGTTAAAATAAAAGAAAAAAAAACTATATATAAAAAAATGTTGCGTACAAGGATATTTGATGTCTCCCTTTTAAATATCTCTAATATTTGATGTCTTAATTATTAAGATATTTTTTTTCGTCTCGATCTTTTAATAAATATATTATTATTTGATGTGTTCACCAATAAGATATAAGATTCTTTTACCCCAAAATATATATTTATTTTAAGTTTTAAATAGAGATTAACCCATGAAAAACAATATGGAAAGAGAATCGATTACATGAAGATTCCGAACACACTCTGTGGTCAACGCTATTAACAATGTTTGATTAATCCACCAGACCTAAATGATGTGAAAGTTATCTTATTTATAATCAAATAAATTATAAGGATATAAAAATAATAATAAATATAAATAACAATAAATGGAAGGATACATAGCAAATATTAGATATTTGTCTTATAATAAAATATCAAATATAATATATATGGTAAACTATAATTTATTACTAAATATCCTCAACAGTTTTTTTTTTTTTGAATCGTAGTTCAATGTGTCGAAACTCCTGACGGCCAACAATCCAAATGAAATGTGGTGTCGTTTATGTCTTATTTAACCAATTCTATGGAGTTGGATTTGATCATTAAATGTTTTTTTTTTTATCAAAATTAATGAGATGGATAAAATCATTAACTAGTGAATATTTCTTAAATGAAGATTATTTTTCGTTCAAGTATAAAATTAAACCCTCGAATTTATTGGATAATGAAAGTCTTACGTCGACTAATTTAAAGAATGATCATAAATTTATAATAAAAAAATACTCTCAGTAAAGCCTTTTGAGAAGCTTAAAAGCAAAGTCACGAGAGCACATACTTAAAAGTAGACAATATTTATATTATTGTCTGTTGATTTAACTAACTTCCAGATGATAATTTGTGTTTATAATTGTAATTAAATTAATTAACTTTTTTAGTTCAATAATTAATATGAGAATTTTTAATAGATTTTGAATATATATATATTATTTCCCTTAAAAAAAATTTAAAAAAAAAAAAAAAGAAAAGAAAGGGGTATATGTGGCACGTGCGTGCACGTCTTGCGAGTTAGGCTAGCCTGTAAATTGGCGGTTGATTAAATGAAAGTCCCATAAAAAAAAACATATTTATAAAATGGCATGAAAAGAACCTTAAAACATTTTTTGAATATGAAATTAAAAATAGTATATGATCAATAATTAATGAATTGATTAAATTAAATAAAAC